GAATACCCAGAAGCACTTGAAGGATGGACAAACAGGACAACCTTCTGCTACCTCCCTCCATCACCATCGCTATCGATTGTCTGCACCGATAATCACATAACCGAAATAACTGTCACCAGAAACAGAACCTCCCCAAAGCCCAAATCAGGGAACTTTCTAGTTTCTCAGCAAACTCACCCTGATAGATTCTCCATTGATTCGTTCTTCACCGATCTAACCAAGCTAAAATGAATTTGTAAGACTTAAGTTATGATATTTTACAGTTTTTAGCATAAAATAAACACAAGGATAAATTTGTCTAACAAAGAATTAATATTCTTTTGGTCTTAGGAGTTTAGCTCCTCGAATATAAATAAGGTTAAAAATTAAATTTATGGGGGAGTTATACTAGGGATCCTAAATTATGTATCAAATTTTTTTATTAAACCTCTTACATAAAATGTGAGATTCACACACATCTAAATTTATGTAAGTCTCACATTCATACGTTCCGAAGTGAAAAGAGCCCTCACAAAATCAAATTCAATTAAGGCCCAAGTTTCTCTCTAGTTAAAAATCATATTAGAGCATGTTGTTAGATTTCGTGGACCTACTACAGAGTTTATATTGATAGTCCAAACCGTTCAATGTTTAAAACTTATCGAGTACTTCATTCTTGCAAAAAATTAAGTTAATCATGTATCAATAGTCACTTGATCATTTCAAATTTGTGTCAACGGTAACTATAATTTTTTAAAAAATTGTTAACACAAATGTAATTTGATCAAGTGGCTATTGAGATCCGATCAACCTGATTTTTTTGTAGAGATGAAATAATCGACGAGTTCTATATATTGAAATGATTTAGATAATCGATATGAGCTTAAAAAGTAAACAAATTTACAAATTAAAAAATAATAAATTAATACATAGGGACTTTTTTACTGAAACACTAGTGGAGTCCAATTAATTTGGTTGGGTTTATGGCTTCAATATTATTATGTTATTAATGATTTGAGACCACTTAAATGTTTTATAAAATTCTGATGTAAGTGCAAATACCAACAAAATTGTTAGTAAAAGATTTCTCGTGACAACTCCATTTATAAAAATAAAAATAAAAAAAAGAAAAATTCACTTTATCTCATATAGTTTGGTTTATGTACGGATTATCTCATTTTATTTAGAAATAATCACATAATTTTCTTGTAATTTATAGATTGAAATGCACCGTTAATCTTATTAATGATTTAATGAAATAGACTAAAATATCTTTATATAGTACTTTAAGTGTGTGAAATATAAATATTTGTCATTTATTTGGAAGAAAAAATACACTAGGGTCCATTTGGTTTAGTTTTAGAATTATGATTTGAGTGTAGAGTTGTGTTTTAAGTTTTAAGTTTTTTAATAATGACTTAAAAAGATAAATTTGTTTAGTTATGAGTTTTGAAAATAGTTTTAGGATGATTTGTAATTTTTTTTTTTTTTTTTGATTGATTAGTGTATAGAATGTGAAATGAGAGAGGAAAGAGGAAAGATGAGAGAGAAAAAGTGATTAATTAATTAATTGACTAATAATAATATATAAAAAAAAGAGAAGAGTTTTGAAAATAATTTTAAGTTATATTTTAAAATTATATTTGGTTATGAGTTTTGATCAAAATCATGATTTAAAAACAAAGTTAAGTTTTGAAAAGTAAACCAAACGCTACCTTTAACTCCCTGTGTTTTATTCCATATACTGTTTATCATTTTAAAATTTGCAAATGATGTTATAATTCCCTTATATCTACAATGTGTTTCACACTACTTTTAAATTAGACGGAATATTTAACAATACATTTCATTTCATAAACCACAAGGGGTTATATGGTTAGGGTTTGACTTCTCTCATATTGGTTATCTTAATTTAAGAAAATATTTGGGTTTAGTAAGTTCATTTTGAGACTGACTTTGGTAATATAAACCATTCACTTTTTAAAATTTATTTATAAAATATTCATACAAAAAAATAAGATAATCGAACACTGATAGCTATAATTTCAATCAAATTTGTATTAAAAAAAACAGATGATTATTTTTAAAATTATATTTATTGTTCATTTTTTTAAAATAAATATGATTCAAAATATAACTACCCATATCCAATTATCTTAATTTTTTATATGAATATTCTACTCAATGAATTTTAAGAAACATCACCAAAATTGGTTTTCAAAATAAATCTATCAAATCCAAACGCTCTCTCAAATTGATATGACAATTTAAAATAAACTAAACTCATATACTTATTTTCAATTTAGAAGGAGTAATCTCACGTAGATAAAGCACAAGGATTAAAATAAAGAAAAGTGTTAAAAATTTTATTAAAATTTCTATTAAAAGTCTCACATGATATGAAATGTGTGAATTACACGTTCATATGAGATATTTAGTAAAAATTTTAATAAAATTTTTTAAATCTCTCATAATATTTTAAAATAAAATTTGTCCTTAAAAAAAAACATAGCCGTCACGAACCCCACGTGCCTAAGGCGTGACTTTTAGTTGGTGGAACACCGAGATTCCGTAATAAGCAGTGTTAGGATTGAGAGCCTCGTTGACTAAAGTATCCCATCAATACAAAGATCCAACGGTATTGAGGCCGTACTCAATTTAATACCATAGATCTCGTAGCCTCACATCATTACTAGCTTCTTTTCCCTTCTTTTTGTGTATACCCGATTCAATAATAGACAAAAACAAATTTTTTTTCTCTCTCTCTACCAGCACTCGAACCCTTAACCTCTTGTACCTTTTGTCTAGATGACATACTCTATACCGCGAGGCTAACCCATGGGTGAGTGGCAACCTGATAAGGGCCTGGGATTTAAGCCCCTAGGTCCTGGGTTCAACTCCCCTTTGGGCCAATCTCCTGGGCGTAGCACAGTTGGTTAGGAGGTTGACCTCAAGAATGCCTTATCAGCTACTTGGTGTGGGTTTAACTCGCCCCCGCTGTGCGAGTCCTGACTTAAGCCGAGCTTGCCTTGGGAGGTCGACATAAGCTTCTAGGTTATAGTCTCTTACTCAGAACGAACAACAGGACACCCTGGTGATCTCCTCAAGGGGCGCTGCCTTGGACCTGCGGGAGAGTGGGAGGATTTTCCTGTAACAAAAAAAAAATTATTTTTTTTTAAATAGTCAAACCTATACTGTTGAATTATTTTAAAATACATTTTCATCATTGTAAATAAAGAGACAAAGAGAGAGTATAAATAGAGAATCTGGACTTGACCTATATAACATCTTAAAATCACTCCTCTGATGGCCTTTTCACCAGCAAGTCTGCGTATTTGCTTTCCAAGAACTTCACCACCATCCCTCCCTTACCCAATTGGGATTGGATTTGGTAACTCCCTACCAAACCAAGAGTGATCCACTTCATTTGGCTTGCACTCCAACAACGTCTGCATGCCAAAGACCTCTTACATATCAAAAACATTATCTCGGATAATTCTTACCAACTCTGCGGGTCATCTCCTGAAACAAACCTTCATGCATTGAGGGACTGCACATCTGCGAAAAGATTCTGGGACTCAATCCTTATTCCCCTTAACTTATCATCTTCTTTCAACCTTAGCTCAATGGAATGGCTCAAAATCAACTGCCTCTCCACTGAGCTTCACTCATCATCCATCCCTTGGGCTATTGTCTTTTCCCTTACTTGTTGGACCATTTGGAAAAACCGAAACTCTGTCTGCTTTGAGCCCACTCCCCCTAACCCACTCAAACCTACTTGGACCATTGCTATGGCCACCAAATGGTATCACCTCTCAAATACCAGTAAACCTCGTGCCACTAAAACCATTGCTTGTAGTTGGAACTCACCTCCCATACACTGCTTCAAACTAAACACCGATGGCGCGACAAATGAAAACCATGCAGCTGCAGGTGATATCATTCGCGACAATCATGGCAATTGGGTTTCGGGTTTCTGCAGATTTCTGGACAAAACCAACAGTCTAACCACAGAATTATGGACCCTTAGAGATGGTCTCAAATTGGCTCTTGACATGGGTCTCACACCAATTGAAGTTGAATCTGATGCTCTCACTCTTGTGCACATGGTATTAAATAATTGCAATGATCAACACCACCTTAGCAATATTGTTCATGACTGCAAGTTCCTCCTGGACAGCCTCAGATTGCCAACTGTTAACACACATATTCAGAGAAGCAAATCAAAGTGTGGATGCACTAGCAAATTAAGGGCTGCTTATGATGGATGGGAATTTTCATGTCTTCTCTTGCCCTCCATCTACCTTTGTATCACAGATGGTTATATATGATGCTATGAGAATTCTATATCCCAGAACTATCTTGTACTGACTCAGTTATTTATTTTATAACAACCTACATATTTACTCAAAAAAAAAAGATTAAGAATTAATTTTTAAATTTTATTTGATTTTAAAAAAAAATGTAAAAAAGTAAAAAAATAGTGCCACCAAAGATCAAAATTTAATTTTTAACTATCTTTCAAAATTAGCCCTATAAATAAGTGGGGAAAAAAAAATCAACTCAATCACATCATATAGTCATATTATATACGGCGGTGGATTCCATTTCTTTTAATCTCATACCTGCGTGATAGGGTTCTCTAGTCAAATTTATTTTAATTAATGGTATATAAATAATAAAAAAATTTACATATAATGATATGATTTATTATGAGTCGTTTATTTTAAAATAAAATATGATTAAAAATGTGTTTATTTATAATAATGATATTGTTATATTATTTTTATAAATTTTTTATATGAATTTTATATATAAATAGAATTTATTTTATTTTATTTTTTTGTTTTTTAAAATAATTAATAGAATTATGTTGAATTCTGTAACCGATTTTTGTGTTTCTAAAACAATATGATAAGTGAATAATAGGAGTAAAACTATTTTTGTTTTTTAATGACGTTTTCACCATGCAATATGTGTGGTTATGTGATTGGTCAAGTGTTTCTAAACTTATTGTAGCAAATTGTAGCTTTCACTCTCGTGAAAACTTCACTCTCTTCAGATCTCTGTCCCTTTTCGCAAAAATAGGTTGCCTTCATTTTCCAGCCAAGTTTCTCTTCTTCCCAAGTTTTCACCCTTTCCATGTAAGATTTTCCTTATCACCGATGTGCACTATAACCTCCTCTTAGCATTTTCTTTGATGTAATTCAACTTTTGAAAAACATTTTCCAATACCAAACAAAACCACACCAGATATTCTGCTTCATGTGATTTTCAGTTGAAGTCCATGCTTCCCTCTTTTTAGTTAAAAAGTTGGAGTTCATTGTTTTGAATGAAAGTTAATGCACTAGTTCAATGTTTGGGATCTAAGAAATTTGTTGGTATTTGAAGTTTGGCTTTTCCAGCTTCATTTTCCTGAGAAAATGGAGAATCCTTCCCGGGTTTTTCTCTGTTTCTTGTTTTCTCTTCTCACTTCCCATTTGTTTCTTCAAGTTTCCATTGCGCAATTGTCTTCATCAGAAACCAGAATTCTTTTCCGACTCCAACAATTTCTTGAATACCCAGAAGCACTTCAAGGATGGACAAACTGGACAACCTTCTGCTACCTCTCTCCATCACCATCACTATCGATTGTCTGCACCGATAATCACATAACAGAATTAACAGTCACCGGAAACAGAACCTCCCCAAATCCCAAATCAGGGAACTTTCTAGTTTCTCAGCAAACTCTCTCTGATAGATTCTCCATTGATTCCTTCTTCACCGATCTAACCAAGCTTTCGAGCTTGAGAGTGCTCTCATTAGTGTCCTTAGGATTATGGGGTCCATTGCCCGCAAAGATAGAACGACTAAGATCACTTGAAGTGATGAATTTCAGTTCAAATTTCATCTATGGGGAAATTCCTTCATCAATTTGTAGTTTGAAGAATCTCAAGAGTCTTGTTTTGGCTGATAATTTGTTCAATGGGAGTGTTCCAGATCTTACAGGCTTACAAGCTCTTGAAGAGATTGATTTGGGTAATAATCAACTTGGACCTAAATTTCCCCCACTGAGTAACAATCTTATAAGCATCATAGTTAGAAACAATTCTCTGAGATCTGAAATTCCTTCTGGCTTCAAGGACTTCAATCTTCTTCAACGACTCGACATCTCTTCCAATGTACTCGTTGGGCCCATTCCCTCTCCTCTGTTTTCTCTGCCATCAATTCAGTACCTCAATTTGGCTGACAATCAGTTTAGTGGTGCTCTTCCAATGAACACATCTTGCAATGCCAATCTTAGTTTTGTCGATATTTCTAAAAACTCCTTGATCGGAAAATTGCCTTCATGTATTGGATCAAATTCCACGAATAGGACAGTACTAAGTTCATGGAATTGTGTAGCGAATGGAGATGGGAGGTATCAGCACCCGTACTCGTTCTGCCACAAAGAAGCGTTGGCTGTTAACCCTCCAATTAGAGATCAAGGGGGGCAGTCCACCGTTAAACTTGGCCTCATACTCGGTCTTACTGGGGGCATTGTTGGGGTTGCTTGCGCTGTCGGGTTTTTTATTCTGGCAAATCTCAGAAAAACAAGAATGAATGAAGCAAGTAGTTTCAAATGCGATAGCTTTGCTTTTGAAAGAACTTCTGTGCGCGGCTCTCCTGTCATCGATGGAAGTAAGGCCCTTCTTTCTGTTTCTCTGTCTAGAAAACTTGGTTCTTGCAAACATAGTGATTGTGAAAGTCAGTCAAATGTTTGATAAAACATGTAAAATGAATTTCAACAGGGCATGTTCCGCGAAGCATAAGGTTGCCAGCATTCGGGCTTCGACCGTATCAAGTTTTCACATTGGAGGAAATGGAAGATGCGACAAACAACTTCGACCCATCAAATTTGGTTGGGGAAGGATCTCATGGACAGGTAAGAAAGTCAGTTCACTGGTTTTTTTCTTTTGGCCTTTTGGGGGTGAGAAGACAATTCTCTCCATAGCTTGTGTTCCCTACTTGGTGGTTGTTAATTAATTCTTATGTGTTTCCCTTCCTGGTCAAACATGTTGTTTCTAAATTTGATTGTGATAGTTGGGGCAGCATATGCCATCTGTAGGAGTTCATTATGCACCAGAATGATCGAAAATATGTGGTTCTGCGTGTATAAACCTACCAAGAATCAATTTTATTCAACTTACAAGTGATTTTTTGTTACTTACAGCTGTACAAAGGTTGGCTCAGAGATGGCTCAACGGTCCTAGTGAAATGTCTCAAGTTGAAACAGAAGTATTCGCATCAAAACTTGCAGCAAAATATGGATGTAATCTCGAAGCTTAGGCATCGCCATTTGGTCTGCGTTCTCGGACACTGCACTGTCACATACCAGGACCATCCCAATGCAGCTTGTACTGTGTTTATAGTCCTTGAACATGTTGCAAACGGGTCTCTGAGAGATCATCTGAAAGGTAAAGAACAATTGACATTGTTGTTTATGAGATTGATATCACAAAGAATCTAAGACACTGCTTGTTTTTTTTGTTTTTTTTTTGGCAGAGTGGATAAAAAGGGAATATCTGAAATGGCCACAGAGAATGGGGATTTCCATTGGCATTGCTAGGGGAATCCAGTTCTTGCACACAGGAATTGCACCCGGACTTTTCGGGAATGATTTGAAGATTGAAAATATATTGTTGGATGAGAGTCTCACAGCTAAAATTAGTACCTACAACATTTCATTGCCATCCAAGGTGGGAAATTAAGGCAATCAAGACTACATTGTTATCAATTCCAAAATATATTTCGTACATATCATATGTCAAAATTAGGATTGTAAACAAATCGATCCTATCCAAGCAATGCTGTATTCAAGCTCAGCTCATTCATTAATCGAGCTCGAAATGAGGCTTGAATACACAATCAAACTAGCTCGAGCTCAGCTCAAAATAGATGAATGCTTTATGCTAACTCCTTTAGACTTTGGAATTTTCAGGTATGTTCAGAGAGCCCCCTCAACGACAATTCCAATCGTCTCGACAGGTATTCTGCCATATCATCTATTTGTTGTCTCTGTTGCATTAGAGCATCTTCAGCAGTGTAGCATTTATGCACAAACTCATTTATTTATTTTGTTACTTAAATTAATGAATTGAAGCATTACTACAATGCTAGAGATCCTCAAACATTCTATTCATCTCATAGAAGCTCTATATGCAGCATTGAAAACCCAGAAAAGAATGATGTTTATCAGCTGGGTATTATTCTGCTCGAGATAATTACCAGTAAACCAATCACATCAGACAGAGAATTACATGAGCTTAAGCTTCAGGTATAAAACCTGTTCAATCTTCTCTGTTTTACACCATTTTCTTATCACTTTCCTGTAAAAACCTTTTCAGCATTTATCCTTCAATTCAAACTTCATTGTTCACTTCACAGCTAGAAAGAACCTTAGCAGAGTCACCATCAAAATTACAAGAGGCAATAGACCCCTCCATTCGAGGAACATTTGCTTATGAATCGCTAAAAACAGTGGTTGAGATCACCATGAAATGTCTCTGCGAAGATTCAAGCACACGTCCGACCATAGAAGATGTTCTTTGGCACTTGCAGTATTCAATTCAAGTTCAAGATGGATGGAATAGCAGTGGAAACCTAAGTGAAAAAATGTAGTCGACTTGTAAATCAAATGTTATATATAAGGTGTGAACATGGCTATTCATTATAAGCAGCAATATTGCAATGCTGAAATTTGTTTTGCCAAGCTAGAAGTGAAGCCGGGTTCGGATAATATTATATATGTATAGCTTGTCAATTGTATTGTTTGGCTCATCTGGGCATGCTTCCTTATTTCTCAACTTACCAAAACCAGATGATGTTTCCATTCCTGATCTAACCATCAGCTGCTTCTTTTTTTCTTGGAGGGACATGAATGTTAATATTCCGTTTGTTTCAATAGAAAACATTTTCAAAAACTGAGATATTTGCAAAAAATGTTTTCCTGTATTTAGTTGCAACCCTGAAAGTGATGGTGTTAATTGTGCTAATGGTAGTGTTGTTGGTGGTGATGGCTGTGGCAACAGCACCGCCCGCTTTCATGGCTACTTCAGCGCAGGCCAACAAGCAAGGAGAGAGACCGTCTTCAACCATTATGGAGAAGGTGTCCAAAATTAGGTGGATGTGCACTTGGTTATGATGATATTACAAATAGGAATAAATTTGGTATTAAGTGGGGTGTTAAAACAAATCATATTGAAATTTAGAGTTTAAGGTGGAGATCCAAAAAAATAAGGTATGTGCTATAGCAACCCTCTTAACAACATATGCAAATTTTACTTTTTTGATTAGTTCCTATAATACCCTCATCTTCAACCTTCTACTCTTAATCCTAAAACAAAAGCCACCACCCACTATTGCCAACTCTGCCTCTAGTGCCACCACCCATCGCCTCCTTCTCCATACCCTAACTCTACAGACCTACCACCAACTTGACCCAACCCCTCTAACCCCCCACCACCATAACCCATAGTCTACAAATCAAGGGTCTTCAGTGAAGAAAAAGAAGAAAGTGGGTTGGTTTACAGAGGAAACAAAAGGGACTGGGTTGTGCGTAGGGATGGGAAAAGATAGAAAGAAAGGGTTGGGATGGTTTTGGGGGTAAGGAGTTTCGGTGGTTACCACACTATACAATGATCAAAATGCAAGTCATGATTCTGACTTGTTGCAATATTTCTAGTATCTTTGAGGCCTACTATCAACTCCAACCAGTGAGCTTCGTTTGCACGGAGGGAAGGCCTCTCTCAAAAGCTGCAATCACCTCAAGGAATCGTGTCTCAAATAGTGGTCCTGAGACTGCAATCATCTCAGATAGTCTTCCTTCATGGGTAGCACTCCAAGTAGTTGTACCGTGAAGGCGGCACTGCAATGGGTCTTCCCGCAAGGCAGTGCCTTAATAAGGAAGGATGAAAATGCAGGGTGAAGGTCACAATGGTAAGGAGCTGGTGAAGAGGTGATGGTGGCTAATGGGGTTTGACAGTAATACAAGGCTGGCTAGGGTTTGAACAGAGAAAGGTACGTGTCATTGTCCAAAATGGTAATTTGCTCAAGAGACAAAATTGCAATTGAAAAAATTAAAAAAAGAAAAATTGGTGACTACTAAAAGTGTGATGTGCATATAGAAACTCTCCCATATTGGGTTTCATTAAAATCTTCCATCATTTTTAGCACATAATCTTTGTTTCAACATGAAAATACGAATTTTAAAGTCTTGCTCCTAAGAAGTTATCTAGTACATCTGGCCTACCATGTGATTGTGTGTTCAACTTATAACAAGAGGACTCATAATTAATTTTTCTAAAACATTAAAGAAAAAATAGTTACAAGACCCTAGACAAATGCAATTGCACAGCACATTAGATATAGGTCGAGCAGATAATTTTTGCTCCCTCAAAGGTTTCTGCCGTTGCCAATTTCTGTTGAAATGTCAAGGTCAAAAAACCAAAGATGCTCATGAATTTTAAGAAAAAAGGCATTGGCTAAGGTTGTGTTTGAATCATCGATCTGAGTAGGGATTTAAAAAAAAAAAAAAAAAGAAAAAAAAAAGAAAGAAAAGGTGACTGAAATATAAATGAAATATAGATACATTTCACTCACCTTTTTCCTTTCCCTTTTCAAATCTCTACCCAAATCCATAATCCAAAACAACATAAATATCCATTACATAGCCTAAACCAATTATAAGTTCAAGCTTTAGCATCATTTTCATGATGCCAAGGGGTACACCAGTATATGATGATGTGAAGCCCAATGGTAAAGAAAATATGTATTCCACAAATTCAGATTCTCCACATTAAAATGTGGTCAGCTTTTGGCACCTTTACCCATTCACCAATGTGAAATCTTTTCAAGCATGACCACACTTGTCTTATCCTCCTCACAATGGAAATAAAGTGGATCACTCAGATTTCCCACCACAATTCAATCTAGTGTGTATTTATATATATATATATATAAAAGATAAAATAAATAAAAAAACAATGAATCTTAAAAGACCAAAGACTTTCACAGCAGAACCTGTATACATCATAGAACACCATTCTAGATCATCTCTAATACTTTGTATAAGCAACAGTAGGCTCACGGCATGGCTGGCAATAACAAGAAAGTTTTGTATGTACATTAATTCGATGAAAAATGCAAGACAGCAAATTGAAGAACTGAAATAAGACCTAAAAATTCATACATTATAGGTAAGCAAACATATAACATAATCCAAAGTTCAGGAGTTTGCAACACGAAATTTTTTTTTTTTTTTTTTTTTTTTTAAGTTTCCATGTTATTCAAACAGGCCATCAAACTAGCTTGGAAGTTTAATAGCGCACCCTACCAGGGGTATCAGTCAGCTGTCCAACTCTGCTCAACAATCTCTCTTACTCTTCTGTTGTACTCACGCTTGTTCTCGCTAAACATCCGTGCAGCTTCTGAATTGGCAGGGGAGTTTGGGTTTGGATCACAGAGCAATGACTGCAATAAGAAATCCTTTGGTTAAAATTTTACACGCTTAGGAACAATTCCCAAAAATGCAGAGAATAAAGACATTCACAAACATTAATGGTGCATATCTGCATCATAGCTATCAATTTTAATATATAATGTTAATTCCATCGATATAACATGGCTCTAGACTACGCAGCTCAAAGATAAGTGCCTCGAAGTGGACCAGGAGCGCGCATAAATTGTGAATACAAGCTTCTTAGTTAGTCCAAACCAAAAAGCCATCCCCAGTCTCATTCCATTTGCATATTAACTATCAACACAGATCACATTACTGACAGACTAAGAATAAGAACTTACTTCAGTCAAACCAATCAGTTGGGAATAAGACTGGTGAGATGTCAAGGCTACCACATTTTTAAAAATAAAAAAAAACTCTCTACAATATTTAGTTTCCATATTGAACTTTATTCATGTGTTTCTACTAGTAATAAGTGATGGTTTTGAAAAAATATGATGATTTGATTTGGGTACTTTGGCCCCTTTGAGGCTATGAAATTAGGGAGTTTGGGTTTTGTTTGAGGTTAGCGACAGACTAAGAATAAGGACTTACTTCAGTCAAACCAATCAGTTGGGAATAAGACTGGTGAGATGTCAAGGCTACCACATTTTTAAAAATAAAAAAAAAACTCTCTACAATATTTAGTTTCCATATTGAACTTTATTCATGTGTTTCTACTAGTAATAAGTGATGGTTTTGAAAAAATATGGTGATTTGATTTGGGTACTTTGGCCCCTTTGAGGCTATGAAATTAGGGAGTTTGGGTTTTGTTTGAGGTTAGCATTTGGATTACTTTAGAGGTAAAAATTTATCAAATTATTACTGACTTTTTTTTTGTTTTTGATAAATAAATTATTATTGACTACTTGTTGCTTGAAATTAAAGAGTTTGGGTTTGTTTGCACAATTTATTAAAAATGGTCGATAAGAAAAAGCAAAAGGGACCACCGTACCCATGTAAGTGGTAATAATGGAATGCACTTTTGAGCAGCAATAATGGAATGCAATTGAAGTGTAATTATCATGGAAAAGGGACTATTCACTTGGCAAAAATCCACAATAACATTTATCCTTTTTCCTTTGTTGAATATATGTGTTCGTCCTTCTAATAGAATTCTTGGTCATGCTCCTAACTCATCAAAGTCGAGTTCTTTTCAACAGACGAGAATTGATGGCACAGCCCATGATTATTATTTGGAAGCTAGGGTGAAGCTCGTGGGTTCAGAGACTTTTTGGTCCAACAAATGTAATTGATAGTTTTTATTATTATTATTAAGTGAGAAGTTAAATAATTATTAGCTTGATTATGTATCCATATGAGTTTATTTCTTAATTCGTCTAGGGTTGTTGCCCTATAAATATTAGGCATTGCTTTAGAATTACTGGAAGTTCATTAATCAGAGGTTGTGGCTGTTGGTGTTTCTCCACCTCTTCTCTACTGTTTTTCCTTCATCAAGTTCAATACTTCAAGCTAACTAAGAACCCCTTCATTTCAAGCCAAACCCAAAAAAAGAAATAAAGATGCTGATGCAAAACCCACATGTCATCAATAATCACAGTCTATGTTCAAGAAATATAAAGCAATAAGTAGTAGACAAACCCACACCTGAATAGAGGTAAGTATAGCAGCCACATCATAGATAGGACTCCACTGATTTTGTAAAATATCCAAACAAATGCTTCCATCTGCATAAACTGCCAAAGATCAAGGCAAAGTGCGAACTTAGACCAGAAAGTGGCTGAATTATATATGAATTTATCAGCAGATAGATATAATAAATTTCAGAACATACAAAAAATAACAATAAGTAATTGAAATAACAACAGTACTAGTAGAAGGGTATAGATATTAGTAATAAAGTGGGATTGACAAGTAACACGACTAATGTTCAGTAATTATAAATGAACAAATGTTTTTTTCTTTTTTCTTTTTTTCCCCTTTGGCTCTTAGATAAGTATGAGTAAATGGTTGCTCATATACCTTCTCATTTTATTTTTATTTTTTTTGATAGGTAACCAAATAGTAATTTTTCCTCCTAATCTCCTTTCACACCCATTAAATTGCAAAATTGGCCTAGTGGGTGCAACTTGGGGCCTGGGATGTGCTCCCTCCAGGTCTCAGGTTAAGGTGGTATCAAACTTCTTGAGGCCACGCCTATGCGCTTTGCCTTAGATTTACCAGATTCACGTGGAGGGGCGCTTTGTGTGGGTCTCAGGATTAGTTGAGGTGCCCGTAAGGTAGCCCAGACACCCAGTCATCAAAAAAAAATTGCAAAATGGGGATTATCATTGGCAAGGACCAGTTTACTATACTTTATAAATGTGAAGGCAAGTTTTCAATGACTTTCAAACATCAAAATATTTCCAGATTTATAAAAGCATGTCAACAAAAACAATTTACTTCAAAAAAAATTCAGATCAGTGGTATTCATTATAAACATTAATATGTAAAATCATAAACTTTTTCATGATTTTGTAATTAATTTTTGAAAACATCACTGACAAGTAATTGCCCCAAAACAATATAGCAAACATAGACCCCCAAAATGCATGTCCTGCAACTCAAGACATATGGTTGGAGAACTGGAAACCACTCGCATCATTTGCTAGTGCAGCAAATACAAACTTACAATTAGTCGAGGACTTGACAATGTAAATAGGGAAAGAGAAAGAAAAAGTTTAGGCTTCAAACTTACTATTTGGATGGAACATTCGAGAAACAAAGCGCACTGTTGGTGGCTTATTTGGATAATCCTCTGTAAATTGAAGTGTCAATTTAAAAGTACCTGATTCATGCAAAGTACAAATGTTATAGAACAGATAACATACTGAAGGAAAAACTTAGCACCAACAATAAAAACAAATGAAAACCACAATTAGAACAATCAGTCTCATGATAATTTGGAGCAATACTTCAACCATAATATAGAATCATTAGGAGCCAAACAAACAAATACCATCTCCTACATTTATATATCATGGGTATTGTTAAGAAACTAGAATAGATTAAAAGAGATATGAGCCTAAAAAGGGAGTGTCCTGTACCCAAAGCTGTAGTGTAGGCCAACCAAACCATGATAAATAACCATTTTTCCAAAAGATTGTAAGGTTTCAAACATTAGTGCATGTTTAAATGCAGCCCAGCTGACATATGAGATCAAATGAATCAGGAAAGGAAATCACTCATTCTTATCAATTATACAACTAGTAGAAGAGTGTCCTATATATAGGGGCAGAACTACTATCACCATTGTAGTTCGATTTGGCCAGACGGCCTCAGTATGAAAGATGGGTCCATGGTCACTTTGTTTCTAGTTCTAACTGTTGCTCAATATGGAATGACAGGATAGGTTGTTTTATTTATAAATATATATGTGTGTGTGTGTGCGTGTGTGTCACATATAGTATAATATATATTAGTGTGAAATTGAATTAAATGAATACGAAAATGAATTGATCTGAAATTATAGAGTTTTAATGATATATATATATATATATAAACATATGAAATAGTGTTGTAATTGATTGTATAATGCAATTAATGAAATTTGACTTGAACCATATACGATCCATCGATAGGGAGGGATGGAGGAAGCAGGAAGGAACACTGCTGGGCACCCCCTACGATGAAATTTTGATTCCACCAGTCTATATAAACAATGAGTGGATATAAAAATAAAACACATGCAAAAAGGTAACCACATGCCCTAAAAAATATTAGAAATGTTCCCTGAATTCTGATGATTTGCTTCCTAAATCTGTAACAACAATACTTTCAACCACTCAATCACTTAATAATTGACAAACAATTTGTAATGATATGCAAAACATTATTTCAACAAAATAAATAAATACACAAATATATACATTTATACATTTATGATCGTCCAACAATGTGAATAAGAAATGATATTACCTCCATCCCATGGGGTGTCATCTGGACTGCATTTCAAACATGAAAATGTATTAGAGGATAAGCTTAAGATGTACAATTATAAACCATATAAACCAAAAGATCATTAGAACACTGGAAAACATAATTTCAAATCTTCATAACCAACCCAAATATAACAGCATTCCAAAGCATTATATTGTTGTCTTGAGGAGCACCACTGATGCCTGCAGGGGGGTCCTGTTGCAACCTCTTAAAATCCCTCATCAGCCTCTTCCTTGCAGGAGTCGACATCCTCACCACCTACAGATTTGATCACAAGTCAATCAAAATAGTTCTCATACTTATCACAGTCTCGAGTCAATTGAATTGGTTCTTTCTTATTAGTTATCAAACTTTCAAGCACACACAAAACGCACATGCAGTGAATTAGTCCACTATTACTGCATTAACAACAATATATTTGGTGGTTTTATCAAGCAAATTGTAGAAAACTGCAGTTCCTCAACCTGAAATGTATTTCAACACTTGTAACCAAAATAAGCTAAAATGGCAGGTGTTCGGCATGTGACTTTTTGGCTAAAATCGCCAAAAAGTCAAACCAAGGTATCACATCACTCTCTCCATTTTTTTGTACATATTTTCATCAAAAATTAAAAAGCCAACTAAAATAGCCTATTCCCAAACGAGCTCATGTAAACTTTAATCAACACCACCTTCATGCCATGCCTACAAGAGATTTCACAATGAAGGCAAAAATTTTGAAAAAAATAGTCTACAAGCATCACACCAGCATATGCAGTTTGATTGCTCAAGTTGCAATTTGGAGTACTTCAGTTAAATTCAACTCCTAGAGAAATTTGCTTCATTTTTATACATCTGCAGGGGCGGTGCTATACTCTATGTTTAGTTTCTAGTTTTGAACACCCTAGATTATTCTTTTTTTTTTCTTTTGTTTAGAATTTTTTACTTTTTTTCTTTTTCTTTTGGTCTTGACAATGCAAATATGAATGTGTAGAATTCTCTTTTGTTGGGGATTTAAAAAGTTTAAATTAGTAAAATCTTAAAGTTGAAGTTTTGAATAGCCTAATAAAAATTCATGGAGCCACCGCCACAAACAAAGAACAGGTAAAATAGAAAACCCTAGATCCAACATTAGATTCCGTTTCCAATCTAATAACTAAAAACTAAAAATTAGGGTTTGAATCGAAAAAGCAAAAGTCAATTAAGGTTTTTCAAATACAAAATTAGATTTATACAATCAAAGGAAAGCAAACAAAAGCAAATCGATGCTGAAAATGAAAAGGAGATGGAATTTAAACCAAAAAAATCTCACTTGTAAGGAAACGCGGCGAGAACGGGCTTGGATTGTTGGAGAAGAGATGAAAGAGAGAATTGGAGCGATTGTTGAGAAGAGAGATGATATCAGAGAAAGATTCTCATGGTGATGGATAGAGCGATTGTTGGATGTGAAGTGGGTGTGGGGAGAGAGAGAGGTATTTGAGGTCGGGTCTGTCGCTAGGGTGCCGTGGTGTGATGTGACATAGCTTCTCTTCTATCCTATTTCTAATGCTTCTTCTGCCAAGTTGCCTCTCAAAAGTATATGTACGTATCTCTCTAGCCTTTTTCTATGGGTTGTGTGGTGTCACAAGGTCTGAATGACACCAGCAAACATTTGGAGTGTAATTTGGGCCTGGCCTGGTTTGGTTCGGGCTCGGGTTGATCTAGGCCCAGTTGGCGGCGTGAGGTCGGTCAAGGATGGATGTGGAATTCTAATATAGAGAGAACGAACGTATGTTATAAAAAAAAAATTTTTTAAAATAAAGTGTAAATTACAACATCAATTTTTATGGACATAAAAGGTAAAAAAAATAGCATAATATATATAAATAAACATATTCTCTTATATTCATATTGAATTATAAAAGATTAATTATAAGACAATCTATCGACATTAGTTGTAAGAAACCAAATTTTATTATTATATTTTGTCGAAATTGAAAATTTTTATACTTTGCATCTTACCTTTCATATATAAAAAGGTGTAGATCATACAACTATTTTTTTTTATTTTTATTTTTTAAAAAATCTAGAGGGGGCAAATATGTGTAATTTAAAGATAATTAAATGATTAATACTAATATATAAATGGTTTTTTTGAAATGATCGCTCCTTCTTGCCTCCTTCTAGGTCCATCATTGGGTCAGTTTGACCCAGTTTTAAAATTTCTAGGCTTGGGTCGGGTCTTTGGACTTGTATAACGGTTCCGGTTTAGACCTAACCGATTCCATCTTTCAGATCTGAGATTCTATACTTTAATTGTTGTTCACATCCTTTCTCATCTTGCTAGTAGTCGAGTTGATTTGTTGGTCGTATTTGAAACAGTTGTGAGTTAGTTTTTTTAAAGAGTTGTTATCCAGTTTTTATAGCGATCCCGGTCTTTCCCCATTTGGTTGTTGTATCCGGACTTAGGTTCCGTGGAGCTTGTTGTTGTATATATCGTGATGTCATCTGTAACGCCCTCAAAATAACAACATTAAACCCATCAGATAAAACATGCATTTACATATAATCTAACCACATTCTTTTATTCATTAGAGTTCCGTTACATAAGTATTACATGTTAACATCAAAACAAAATGCCCTACGAGCTTACACCTTTCCAAGTTAACACTTGGTTACAACAAAAGAGTACTAACTCGTTTACACATTAAGCCCTAGGCTTGAAGTTACATGTAATACATCAAAAGTTAAGCGACAAAAGTATGTCCGCCTCTAGCCTCCCAACTATGTCCTTGGAGGTGGCATGCTTCCTGCACAGCAAATGGTTGATGCCTAGTTTTTGGTGTCTTCGCTCGAGCGAGGACTTTGTCGCTCGAGCGAGCTCTGTGTTTTAGATCCTTCGCTCGAGCTAAGGTTCCTTCGCTCGAGCGAGAGTTGAGTTTTGTATCTGGTGGCTCGAACGAGAAATCCTTCACTTGAGCTTGCGTCTGCGTCTCATTCTAGACCTGAGAGCTGCATTTCTTGGCTCGAGCGAGATTTCCTTCGCTCGAGCGAGCGAGGTTTATGTTTTGGGTTTCGTCACTCGAGCAAGCATTCTGTTGCTCGAGCGTGCTTTTGGGTTGCAGACCTGAAGCTTCGCATTCTTGGCTCGAGTGAGGCTTTCTACGCTCGAGCAAGAGTTCCTTGTGTCTGGTCGCTCGAGCAACCAATCATTCGCTCAAACGAGTCTGTGTTATATCAGTAGACTGCAGCGGGTAAGGGTGAGCCACAGCCCAGTAGAAATACACTAAACCAACCATGAACAATGACTAAAATATTAGCAATTGATAGATGGTCAACACTGATACATTCACATAAATTACACATTTATGTTATACAACTTATGAGTCTAAGTTACCTTTCATTTTCCCTTTTTCAACAGATAAGCATGCTAGCTCTTTCATCATTTCCACAGATATGTATAAAAACTATATCCCACATTCAGATAAGCATATAAGCTATATCCACATTCTCAACAGATATGTATAATAACAATATCCCACATTCACAGATAAGCATATAAGCTATATCCACATTCTCAACAGATATGTATAATAACAATATCCCACATTCACAGATTAGCATATAAGCTCTATCTTTACTTCTCTAGACAAGCATATGAGCTGTGTCTACGGAGTTCATCCCCTATCTTCTCCCAACACTATCCGGTTTAGAGGTACATCCCCTATCTTCCCCTAAACCGCGGAGTATATCCCCTATCTTCTCTTCTACACATAACGTATATAAACACATTGGTTCTATATACAATCACCCAATACATACAGTTAATGTATTCTATCAACCGTCAAGTTCCATGACACATTTCATTGATTAGTTTCAGTTTGCCTAATCATCATGCATTGTCTACAACAATCACGACTATCATCCACCGATAGCCCAAAGCAGTTATTTCTAATTAGAAAATAAATGCACAATGGATATTCAATCAACATTTTATTTCCTCATTCCTCACAATTAATTATCCCAATTAATTAAACAATGTAATTAGGTCTATTTCCATAATTACCATTTCAACCCTTAGGTCCCATTTTCATCAATGATTTAACATCAATTCTATTTCTCTATGCCAAACATGCATCTAGGTTTATTATGAATAAAACCCCAACTTTTGTAAAAGTGCACAAAAGCCCCAAACTTTCACAAAATTACCAAACCAACCCCAACATCTCAAAATACCAAAATTTAAAGACAAAACCCATAGAGAGAAGTAGGTTATCCCTACCTCAAATTCGGAGTCCCAAAGGAGAAGACGACAAAACCCAACGTGCTCCAAAACCCGAGATTTTCATAACCAAGAAAGACACACCGGATCCAAACTTTTTCAGATTAAATCGAAGCTCTCAACGCCCTCTATCTTATTAACAAGGCCCTAGGCTAGATTCACACTCTAGGGAGATCAAATCTTAGTGAGAATGAAAGTTAGAGAGAGAGAGTGTCGGATTAGGTTTTGCTCAAAGAAAGGAAGTGAAAAAGTGATGTTTAAAACGCTACTGTCCGCTGATATTAAAACACGCTCGTCGAGCGAAGACTTGGTCGCTTGAGCGACCAGACACAGAAAACTCTCGCTCGAAGCCAAGAGTTCTCGATCGAGCGAAGAAAAACCCAGACGCTCGAGCGAAGGAAGCTCGCTCGAGCCAAGAAAGGCAACTCTCAGGTCCAGAACCAGAGCAACACAACTCTCGCTCGACGCGACAAACTCCTCGCTCGAGCGAAGGACCAAAAATCTGGCAGCAACACTAGCGCCCAAACACAACCAACCTGTAACAACCTGCCCAACACATCTTATAACTCAAGACCAAAGTAAAGAGGATGCCACATGTCCGGATCACTGTACAACAAGGGTAAACCCGGGATCGCTATATCATCCTTTGATTCCTTATTTTTGAGTTATAGGATGTGTTGGGCAGGTTTGTTACAGGTTTGGTGTGATTGGGAGCAAATGGTTGATGCCCAGTTTTTGGTGTCTTCGCTCGAGCGAGGACTTTGTCGCTCGAGCGAGCTCTGTGTTTTAGATCCTTCGCTCGAGCAAAGGTTCCTTCGCTCGAGCGAGAGTTGAGTTTTGTATCTGGTGGCTCAAACGAGAAATCCTTCGCTTGAGCTTGCGTCTGCGTCTAATTCTAGACCTGAGAGCTGCATTTCTTGGCTCGAGTGAGATTTCCTTCGCTCGAGCGAGCGAGGTTTATGTTTTGGGTTTCGTCACTCGAGCAAGCATTCTGTTGCTCGAGCGTGCTTTTGGGTTGCAGACCTGAAGCTTCGCATTCTTGGCTCGAGTGAGGCTTTCTACGCTCGAGCAAGAGTTCCTTGTGTCTGGTCGCTCGAGCAACCAATCATTCGCTCAAACGAGTCTGTGTTATATCAGTAGACTGCAGCGGGTAAACACTTCACTTTTTCATCTCTTTTGTTTTGCAAACCCTAGATCCGAGCTCCCTCTCTCTCTACATACTCTCTCTCTCTCTAGGGATTCATCTAGTTTTAGTGTGTTTCTACCCTAAGTTCTTTGTAAGAAAGATAGAGGGTGGCTTGGACTTCGTTTTAATCTGAAAAATCATGAATTTGGAGCACTTCGGGTTTTGGTCATCATCTCCATTTGAGCTCTTCATTTCAAGGTAGGGATAACCTACTCCATCCTATGAGTTTTGTCATAAATTTTGGGCATTTTGATATGTTGGGGTTATTGGGTAATTTTTGGAAAAGTTAGGGTTTGTTTTGTAATTTCTATAAGAGGGGTTTTCCATGTTTGAGTCATATTTGTGATATAGACTTGAAATAGAGGTTGTTTATGGATTATGAGAGAAAAATGAGCCTTAGAGCTATTATTGGAAAAATGGGGAAAATGCCCTAATTGTAAAGAATCATTAATTTGGGAAAATGTGAAATTGAGTTGAGAATAATGAAATCGGGAAATTATGGGATTAAATGGTGTAGTTGGATTAATTTATCACTCACCTATGAAAATGTTGATATTATATCTGATGATGCATTTATTATCTGTTTAGAAATAATTGATTTGGGCTATCAGTGGAGGATAGTCTTGATTGTTGTCGACACTGCATGTTGATGAAGGAAAACTGAAACTAATTACATTGAATATGTCATCGAATATTACAGCTGGAATAATACATCAAATATGTGTATTAAGTAATCCCTGTATATGATAATTGTTTATATACTTGGAATATGTGTATTGTATAGGAGGAGATAGGGGATGTATTCCATGGTTTGAGGGAATATAGAGGATGGACTCTCAAACCTGTTTGGGAGGAGATAGGAGATGGACTCCATTAATACAACAAATATGTGTATTAAATTGAAGTATTGATACAACAAATATGTGTATCTATTGTGAAATATGGAAGTGTTAGTATATGAGTTATAGTCTCATTGAATTGTTTGGCCAGGTTCTGAGCCATGTATGTGAATTGATTTGGATAAGTAAAAGAAAATGAAATGTAACATGGACACAAGTGTCATGGAACTGTATTGTGATATAACTAGTTTATAAGTGTTAACCATCTATCAAATGCT